TTTTTTTTTGTTTTGTTTTGTTTTCCTTAATGTAAAACAGTGGTGCCCCCACTCATCTTGATCGTCTTGGATAGTGATTTCAGGACCGCAGACAGCGACACTATTGAACTTATTTTTACTGTTCTTGTATTTTACATATCTTTTTATTATTCCTGTGGGATTTTATCTTCACAAAATTTCCTTATTTAATACTTTGAGTATGCTTTCACGGAATCATTTTCATGACTGATAATTTTAAGAAAGAAAACACTGTTAGTTGGTTTGGCTGTAGCTCACGAGATAGAGGAACTCATGTATCAATGGGACGTGTGGTGTTGGATCAGTAGCATCTCCGGTCTGAGTGAAAATTACCTTTGGACAAGATATTGAACCCTGAGCTTCTCCCGATGCGTTCATTGGAGTGTGACTGTTAGAAATGTCTTAGCGCAAGAAAAAAATGAATAAATGTGTGAATGAAACATGCTGGACAAGGCGTTTGAGTGTTAAAACAGGTGTTTTTTAAGCGTTTTGTAGAAACCAGTACATTTACCATTCACACTACATTTGGAGCTAATTTACATTGAAGTGAGGAATCAACAGCGTTGAAGAAAACTTTTGTTGTTTGTTTGTGGGTTTTTTTTTAAATTTAATTTACGTTTCCCGTGATAAACATCTGTGATTACAAGTCTTCTATTAAGGATTGCCTGACAGTAGTGTTCTGCAGTTTTGTTTTTTGAACTCTTAGGGCCGCTGTTGACCAGAGTGTTGATGGCTGACAGTAGGGTTGCAACAGCAGCGTATCTCACATAAACGACCACATAACGAGCACGGGGTACGACGAGAAAGAGCGGATATTCTAGATGCGCAGAATATCTGATGACAAAGACGACATTTATTTTTTTTTAAATTTTCCGTTGTTCTGGGAGGAATATACCGCTAAAAGATTTTTGTGTCTACCAGGAATTGATTTCACTTAATGGAATATATTTTCGCGTTGTGGAGCCTCGTTGATAAAATACTAGGATAGAACAATGAAAGGGCCTGCGCTGTTGTTTTTTGCTCTCCTTTCCTTTGGCTCGGTAACTGGACAAGTCAGCTATACAATACCGGAGGAAATGACTAAAGGATCGTTAGTTGGTAATATAGCACAGGATTTGGGTTTAATAATCAAACGTTTAATATCAGGTAAAGCTCGGATTTATACCCGAGACAGCGACCAGTACGTCGAGCTGAACAGAGAAAGAGGAGTCCTCCTCGTTAAAGAAAGGATCGACAGAGAGGCGCTGTGCAGACGGACGACACCGTGTGCTCTACATTTTCAGATCATTTTGGAGAATCCGATGGAATTTTATACGGTTACAGTGCAGATCACCGATATCAATGATAATGCACCCACCTTTGAGAAAACAGAGATGGAGTTTAAAATTAGTGAGTCTGCGGTAACTGGTGCAAAATTTGTTCTGAAAAGGGCTGTGGATGTTGATGTTGGCACCAATGATCTTCAAAGGTACGAACTAAAACCAACTGACAATTTTGTTCTGAAAATGCATAATAATGCTGATGGAAATAAAAACGTTGAGATGGTACTGCAGAAACCTTTGGACAGAGAGAAGCAAGAGCAGATATCCCTCGTGTTAAC